GCTGGGACTACAGGCACACACCACCAAGCCTGGCTGATTTTTCTCTTTTTGGTAAAGATGGGGTCTTGATGTTGCTCAGGCTAATCTGGAACTCCTGAGCTCAAGTGATCCCCCTGCCTTGGGTTCCCATAGTGCTAGGATTACAGGTGTGAGCCACCACATCTGGCCAGAAAAGTGATTACTTTTGTAAAAATCTTCTAAATATTGGGTTTAAAGGATGAATAATTATTGTTGTCAAAGCCAAATCAAAATAAGGATCAGAAGGTTACATATTTAGCATATTTATGGACTACATTAAGAACACTATGCTAATTCCTGAAGATCAGTGATTTTCAAATTCCAAGTTTAACAGATTAGTGGGCCATTAAATCAATTTAGTGGGTCAGGAATGGGTATTTAGAAAATGAAATAGGCTGGGTACAATTGCTGATGCCTATAATCTAGCACTCTGGGAGGCTGAAGTTGGTAGGATCTCTTGAGTTCAGGAATTCCAGCCCAACCTGAGCAAGAGGGAGATCTGTATCCACTAAAAGTAGAAAAATTAGTGGGGCATTGTGAAAGTCACCTGTAGTTCTAGGGTGAGGAAGACAGGGAGGCTGAAGCAGGAGGATCACTTGAACTCAGGAATTTGAGGTTGCTGTGAACTAGGCCATTGCCATGGCACTGTAGCAACAGTGTGAAACTATCTGAAAAAAAAAAAAAAAGTGAAATAGCCAGCCGGGTGTGGTGGCTTCACCTGTAATCCTAGCACTCTGGGAGGCTGAGGTGGGTAGATTGCTTGAGCTCAGAAGTTTGAGACCAGTGTGAGCCAAGAGTGAGATGCTCCCTTCTAAAAATAGCCAGGCATTGTGGTGGGCACCTGTAGTCTCAGCTCCTGGGAGACTGAGGCATGAGGATGTCTTGAACCCAAGAGTTTGAGGTTGCTGTGAGCTATGACACCGTGGAATTGTACCCATGGTAGAGGGTGACAAAGTGAGACTGTCTGAAAAAAAAAAAAAAAGAGAGAGATAGCATATAATAGACAATACAACTGGGAGCTAGTATTGTTTTGTGACATACTTGTAGTTATATGCATTTATATATATTTACTAAATCATGATATGAAATATATCTTTTACTCTAGGTTTCTGTCAGATAGTTTCAAAGGAAGTGTCAGTACTTTTCTATGTTTTAAGCATTCATTTACAAAGACTGTCTATTTTTAGTAAGAGTTTATAATCCAACATATTTTAAAGATGTATGTAAGGTAAAAGATCCCAGCAAAACAGCATGAGTATTTAGAGGGAGCATTTTAATGATCAGAAAAGGTCTAATTAGGAAGGTAACATTTATAGTGTATCTTTTTTTTTTAACTCTTGGGCTTAAGCGATTCTCTTGCCTCAGCCTCCCAAGTAGCTGGAACTATAGGTGCCTGCCACAATGCCTGGCTATTTCTTTTGTTGTAGTTGTTGCAGTTGTTTAGCTGGCCTGGGCTGGGTTCAAACCTGCCACCATTGGTGTAGGTGGCTGGCATTGTAACCACTGTGCTACAGGCACTGAGCCATTTATAGTGTATCTTTAAAGGCAGAATAGAATTTGGGCACTTAGAGTCAAGGATACATTTTAGGCAAAGGGAATGGAATCTATTTCCCAGGTGTGAGAAAGGCCACAGCTATTTTTATAAGTGAAATGTAGTACTGATATAGGGAAGTCGACCTATTTAAAGTAGATTGGGATAGACGATTAAGACCTTCTATACCTGGCTAAGGAGTTAATACTTGTTTTCTGCCTTTTAAAATGCTCTTGCCAGGGCTGGGGCACAGTGGCTCATGCTTGTATTCCCAGCTTTTTGGGAAGCTGAGGTAGAAGGATTGCATGAACCCAGGAGTTCAAGGCTACAGTGAGCTATGATTGTATCATTGTCCTCCAGCCTGGGTGACAGAGACCTAGTCTCTAAAAATAATAGAGAAATAAAATTTTAAAAATGCTATCAAGAAATTTTGAGTTATTTTTCTTAGGCAGCTTAGCATTTTACAAAAAGATTGATTACCTTTTCAGACTAACAGAAGTACATGGATGATTCTGATATTTTACTATAATACATCACCCCCCCAACCCCCCACTATATTTCTTTGCTATGGACCCTGGCAACAAATTGAACTGTGAATTCAGTAATGTTTTATATCTTCATTTTACTGGCAATGAAACTAAGTCGGAGCCATTAAGATGTCTTTGAATAGCCAAGAAGGAGAGCCAGGATCAAACCCAGGCAATTGTCACTTATGTGGTATTCTATGCTGTTTCATCATGTGGTATTCAAAATGTATTGTATTTTGTTATGGGATACATAATTTTAGTGGTTTTAAAAAATTATTCAGTGTTTTTTTTTCTTGAGACAAAGTCTCACTCTGTCACCCTCTGTAGAATGCTATGACGTTACAGCAACCTCAAATTCTTGAGCTCAAGCAATCCTCTTACCTCAGCCTCCCGAGTAGCTGGGACTATAGGTGCCCGTCATAACACCTGACTATTTTTTGAGATGAAGTCTTGCTCTGGCTCAGGTTGGTCTCGAACCCATGAGCTCAGGCAATCCACCCGCCCTTGGCCTCCCAAGTGCTAGGAGTATAGGCATGAACCACCAAGCTGGGCCATTCAATATTCTTTTAACAAATAATGCTTGAACATCTATTCTAAGTCTAAGAACTGGCTTATAGATTCTGGAAATACAAAGTAAACATGAGAGATGGATTCCTTTTCATAATGGCCTTACATCCTAGTTGGGGGAATAGTAAATGAGTAAACAAGTAAAATAATTTTTTTTTTTTTAAGAGACAGAGTCTTTATTGCCCTTAGTAGAGTACTGTGGCGTAACAGCTCACAGAAACCTTCAACTCCTGGGCTTAGGTGATTCTCTTGCCTCTGCCTCCAAGTAGCTAGGATTATAGGTGCCTGCTACAACATCTGGCTATTTTTTTTGTTGTGGTTTGGCCAGGGCCGAGTTTGAACCCTCAACCCTCAGTATGTGGGGCCAGCGCCCTACCCATTGAGCCATAGGTGCTGCCCAAATAACTTTATTTACTTATTTATTTTTGAGACAAAGTTTTACTATGTCACCCTCGGTAGAGTGCTGTGGCATGGCAACTCATGGCAACCTCAAACTCTTGGGTTTAAGTGATTCTCTTGCCTCAGCCTCCCAAGTAGCTGGGACTACAGGCGCCTGCCACAATGCCC